TTAATTGTATTTTCAACATAATTTTCTTTACGCTTCGATCAGAAATATGATCTTCATCCGAGCATAGTTTACACTGACACATAAATTAAAATGTACAAAAACTTTGACACTCAAATAAGGGATAGTACATGCTGCTTCTATTTTTTATCTTCCGTTCCTTTTCGTTTTCTATTAGTGGTACGACAAGACGGTAATACTGGACGGAAATTCTCAATTTTCTTCGTTCGTGTCACTATTGGAAAACAGAAATGAAAGCAAGATAAAAAAATAGAAGTAGCGTGTACTATCCCTTATTTGAGTGTCAAAGTTTTTGTACATTTCAATTTATGTATCAGTATAAACTATGTTCTAATGAAGATCATGTTTATGATCGAAACATAAACAAAATTGTGATGAAAATACAATTAATTTGTTCAGAGACTTAAAATTAACAGAATGTCTTCAACCTTACTCAGTCGTTATAAATTTGGCCAAAATATGCTCTATTTTTAATTATTGTAGATGAAAATCAACCAAACAATAAATCAACTGATATTAGTCATAAATGAGCTGTATAGAGTGTGTTAGATTATTGTTATCAAAATTTGTATTTTGATTAAATAATAACACATATAAGATATTGTTCATTTGTAGTAACATCAACAAGAAAATGTTTACAGATTAACGCTAATATAAGAGCTGGATAAAATCTCTTTACGCTCGATAAAACCACGTTGAAAACTTTCTTCAAGTTGAACAATGATAACTAGAATAATGGGAATTGATGTAAGCCTACGATTAAATCGGACAATGTAAAGAAAACATCAACTTAATTCAGACCAAATACTGCCAGCATACGGAGTATCATTAGTAAGTTTACTAGCAGGGCAGAAAACGGGCTGGTTGGCTCGTCCCGGTCCGGAATTTTGCGAGCGGGCGGTCTCGGTCCAAACTATTCTCGGGCTCGGTCTGACCGAGCTGAAGTGGTTCATGGACCGGTCGGACCAATTTAAATAGGCGGGCTCCCGGCCCGACTCTGTTTTTCATTATTTCATGTTTTTGTGAAAAAGCGTCCTTCGTTTAAGTTTAGTTGATAAACTACTTGATCATCCATATTCCCTTGACTTTAGTATAGGGTCTTACAAAATAGTTATCTGTGTGTTTGTGTGTGTGCGCAAAATATGGAAAAATGCCTGTCAGATATTCTATGGATAAGCGAATAACAGGAGACAAAAGTAGAAAATTATTTTTTACATAAGAGAGAAAATATTCAAAGAGATTATCTGAAATATGTACCGATGCAGAGAGGTAAACAGCTAAGCAAACTTTTTCTGTAGGCCGGGTGGTAGATGTCGTAAGATAGCAGTCAACTGTGGATCTGCAGAGGGTGTGCAGAAAACCTTTTAGCTTTGTATTACATTAGATGGTTTTCCGGTGGAATCAGAGAAGTTCATAGCATTTCTCATATACAGTGGTTGCGAACGCCGATAGAAGAGAAGCATGAGGATTGTTTTAAATTCAGAAATAGTTTTAGACCTCTTGAGACTTTTGCTCTTTATATTCATATTAGATTCCGAACCTTACACATGAGAACAGAAAAAGTCCAGAAGATGCCTTAGGCAGGTCTCCAGCGAGCGCCGACCGAAGGGAGGTGTGAGCATTGTTTTGAATTCAGAAATATGTTTAGACCTCTACAGATTTTTCATTTATATATGTATATCAGATTACCACCTTATACATAAAAAAAGAAAAAAAATCCAGAAGATGCCTTAGTGAGGGCCCCAGTGAGCGCCGACCGAAGGGAGGCGTGAGCATTGTGTTCGATTTATAAGTCACCAAAGGGCGTTCGCTTGCGCAGATCCAACTTAAGAAAGTCAAGGGACCGAGCGAGTAGAGACGAGCGTTACAGACCAAAACAGTGGTGACGCTTTCCATTATAAACGTAGATAATCGAACATTCTCGGTGAGATATCTTGACCGCAGAAAGGCTGTCTATTTAGTTTGACTCTTGTTTTGACATTAGAAATGTCTTCTTCAAATTCTTCAAAATAAAAAATAAAATTCTCATATAACCGCGATCAAATTGAATATCAACCAAAGCAGTACATATTGATAAAAGATGAACAGAAAAGTCTCACGTTCAATACATGCAAACCCTGTCAAATAACATTCTGTTCTATTTCTGTTTTTCAGAGCTCAATGTTTTCAAGTTTAAGAAATCCGTGCTTATCCTAACCTAGATTCGTAATATAAACACTTCATAAAGTGTTGAAAAACCCTGTCGGGCCAAATTTTTGAAAATGACAGAAACAACGTTTCGAAACGTGTGTCGAAAAAAGCGCGATTTATACATCGCTAAAAGACCAAAGGATATTTATCTAAAAAATCAGCAGAAATGAAAAATTCGCGTTACGTGGAAACGCATAGGAACGTGTTCTCATCACTGAAAAACAAATCTACCACTGTTTTTCTATAATCAAAATCAAACGCGTTTTGAGGATGAAGAACTATTATTTATATAGGTTTTATTCTCATTCAAACAGACAACAAAATCAAATTTCACATGGCACTACAAGCGTCGTAGAGTCATCAAAATATTATTAGAAGATTTTGTGCTATGGAAAAATATTTGATGCTGATAAAAATGCGGAATCACGGCCGGAAAATACTTGTGAATGCCCGGTCGAAGCTCTCATTGAAGAATCTAGAATGAAAATGATGTATCATACACGCTGTATAATCGAACCACTGAGAAGCGTCGTTATCAAAGATTAGATGATATTCAAGGACAAAATGATATTGATGCTGAAGATGAAAATCCATTCACTCACACACGAATCAGTAACAGTAACTTGACTTGAACGTCTAGCTTGTAATTGATGAGAGAGAGCTTTTTTGTGTTAGCTGCTGTTTGTTTTCCTCTAGTCCTCGGTGATTTTGTTGTACATATGGTGATTAGGGATGTGCGGTAACCGGTAAATCCGTTTACCGTTACCGTGCTAACGGTAAAAATTTTTTTACCGTTACCGCGGTAATCTCTCTTTTCGGTAAATTCATCTTACCGTTACCGCGGTAAATTTCGTACGGTAAGAACTCTTTTACCATTACCGATTTTTGTCTCGGTAAAAAAACTATTACCGTTCATTTTTCCGGTAAATTTTTTTTACCGTTGCCTCGTTGCAATAAATATTGTTTGCTTCAGAAAGGACCGTATATTATATAATCAGCCTAGAGGTAGGGAGTTAGCGGAAATACAGATTTTGATTTTCTTAAGTAAGGAGAAGGTCAAATATATCTAAAAAACTACCTATATCATATTTGAATGACTCTAATGTTTGTGTTTCTAAAAAAAGTTTCTTCAGAAAAATGAATAAAAGTAATCTGAGTCATGAACAACAGTTCAAATTTCGACGCTACATGGTCTTTTTCTATTCTAAAATATCGTCTATTAGAATTAATTAAAGTTTGTCTTTCAGGAACATACTATAGCTAAACCCATTAGCTTTGAGATTAACACGATTCTGCATTAATCGTCCAGATCTACTAAACGCTCACCCTCATCCTCACCTAAACGCAGAATGCATGAATTTATATCACAGCATGGTCAGAATTAGAAGAGAATAAAGAAATAAAAATAAAAATAAAAGACATAAGTTCGAAGTTCGGTAAAAAAAATTTTACCGTTACTGCGGTAATCTCGTTTTTCGGTAAATTCATCGTACCGTTACTGCGGTAAAAAGGCTTTTACCGTTACCGACGGTAAATTACCGATTACCGCACATCCTTAATGGTGATAAGCAATGTGAATTAAAGTGTACAGGGCGAGAGCAGTCGCTCTGAACGATGGAAGCAGTGCTCAAGTCCAAAGGCAAGCTTCTAGATTTTGAAACTGCTCGAAGACCCGCTGGAGATCTCGAGAGTGTCTCCATCGAATTTTCCTTCGTTTCTTATCTATTTAGTGTTAAAACCAGTCGATTTCAAGGGAAACTCGCAAAAACAAACAAAAAAGNCCTTAATGGTGATAAGCAATGTGAATTAAAGTGTACAGGGCGAGAGCAGTCGCTCTGAACGATGGAAGCAGTGCTCAAGTCCAAAGGCAAGCTTCTAGATTTTGAAACTGCTCGAAGACCCGCTGGAGATCTCGAGAGTGTCTCCATCGAATTTTCCTTCGTTTCTTATCTATTTAGTGTTAAAACCAGTCGATTTCAAGGGAAACTCGCAAAAACAAACAAAAAAGGCTTAGCCTTTTGAAGTATTTGAAGCGTATCTCGGCGACGAAAGGCTTTTAGGAGGCAGGACTATGATAGTCGTGATCAGCGTTGAATTCTCTATCGAATGATGGATAAATAGTATAAAAGCTCACTGTATTTTTCATTCTTAAAGATGATACAGTTTCTTATGCTCTTTTCACATATAACTTCAGAAGTAGAATGAAGGACGCTGAACATGGTTAAATTCAAAAATAAGGGAATATTTCGGATAACTTTTGGTTTTTTGGAATTTTTTGAGCAAAATTTTTTCCGCTTAGGTCAAAATGATCAAAATATAGGTAAATTGAAGCGGTTTGTCCATCTAAATTAGTTTTGGAACCGCTTAGAAGATTTTTTCTAAAAGTTTCAAGAATCCGCTGACGTGTTACATTCGGAATTTAAAAAGCTCTCTGAAACGAGCTCATATTGAAAAATTTTATTAAAAATACGACAGACTGCATTCTATTTTGAAAAGCATAATAGTATAAAATCTGTTTAGACGATGTTGAGCAACGTTTTACTCCTTTTATGTGCGGACGCAATCTCAGAAGAAAGCAAAGGAAAAACAGTTGTTTCGCTTCACAAAATACATCCATGACACACATGTTCTATGAAATGTGTGTTTACACAAGAATAGAGAAAGGTTTGGACTCCAAACAATATGAATAGAATTCACGAACGCATTTGCTTTAAACTCACATTATCGGTATAGAAAGGCATGAAATATTAATAATAACACGTTGACGATTACCAAGAAACTTTGCAACTAATATGGCAAGTCCACCGCAAGACTCGTTGGTTTGTCCGATTACGTATGAAATATTTCGTAATCCTGTTGTAGCTGAAGACGGCCACACGTATGAGAATGAAGCAATAGTCGATTGGATCAACAAAGATGGTACTAGCCCTATTACACGAGAACGATTAACGGTTGATGGATTAAGGCCAAACTACACGGTAAAAAAGTTAGTTGATGAATTTGAAAAAAGTCTCAAGAACAAAAAATACCGGTTTCAGTTGGGAGTAGATGTGAAAAAACCTCGTAAAGCAATGTTCCGCTCGTTTGGAAAATCTATTTTTGAGGCCGAGTGGTTAATAAAAGACAATAACGGACCTAAAATCGTTCTAATGAAGATTGATGGTGCCCGAGCAAAAAAAGAAGCATCGTTCTATGTTGATCTAAGTCGTCACCCACATGTTGTCCGAACATTTGGTTTTGTTGACGACAATTCTCAAGGTAACATTAGTAAATCAACTAACTCTGTTATGTTACTACAAGAGTACGCGCCCGAAGGTAGTCTATACGAATTACTTCAAGAACTGGATATTGTGCCAAACGAGCAAATCCTCCTTCAAATGTTTATACAAACTACAGACGCAATGGTCTTTTTGGCATACAATGATATTATTCATGGTGATTTGGCATGCAGAAATATACTTGTATTTCGTTTCGACGAAAGAGACCCAAGACGGAATCTTGTTAAAATAACAGATTTTGGTCTTAGCCGTCAGAGTTCGATATACACGCAACAAACACTGTCGCAAGTACAACTCTTAATATTGTACCTACCAGATATGCAGCACCAGAGATTCTTAATAACAATGGGAATTCAAATCCTTATACAGAAAAATCCGACGCTTATTCAATGGGCATTACAATGTGGGAAGCTTATAGCAAAGGTGCAGTTCCATGGGCTGAGATTGACAATGATGAGGAAGTTCGTCGCAAGGTGGTCAATGGAGAAATAGTTTCCCAGCCACCAAATTGCAAGGATGAAAAATGGAAGATCATAAGTATGTGCTTGTCCAAGAAGCCCGAAGATCGTCCACCTTTTGCTCATTTAAAAAACTTCTTGATGGAGTCACAGCTCTACTCGAAGGTAGAACTGCAGCATCAATACCCGCTGCAACACCTCCACCAATTCCCGATTCAGGTAAGTACGTTTTTGTAGCTTGTAGACCTCTCGATGGCAATGGCAAATCTACCACATATGGTGGATGATATTTGTCAATCAGGCACCTATTGTCTAAAACAGTTGACTTACTTAGTACAACTC